ATTGTATATTGTTGCTCTTCATTCACGGGATTTGCTCTCATATTAAGTTTGATGCTTCACTTAGCAAATTCTGCTTTCTTTGTCTTTGATACGTTCTTGCCAAATTATTCCTGATTGTATTCATTAATCTTCAGTCACATTTGACAAAAATAAATTGCTCTGATCTTCTAAAGTTACCAGGAATAATTAGTTTTTTTTTCTTAAGGACATGAAAGTTTAGGGGGACCAAGAGAGGCTAATGTGGCTGTTTGTACTGTAATAAAGCATAGCAGAATCTTTAAGGCAATGAAGGCTAAAGGAGAGCTCAGAGGATTGATAGTTCGTACTTCCTCCTTGGACATGCAAAATTGTGTTACTCCTTCTTCCACACCCTCTGTTAAAATCTTGCAATACTTGCTTTCATTTTTCCTGTTTTCTTCCTTAAGTGGCTTTGTATGAATGATTGCCACACGGGAAGCATATATATTGACAGGGGTTGTGACATTAGCATGGCTACTTTATTCAGTTTTGAAAATAACACTCGAACGAAGTTAGTTTGCATTAGATGGGATTTCCCCCCCCCTTCCCTTAAAAAGGAATTTCATTTTAAGCGTTCTGTAGGTGTTTATTTTTAACCGCATTTACTTTCATTATGATTACATTTTACAAAACAATAGAAGGGTCGGTGGAAAAAAAATGTCTGAAAATTGGTAATGAGGTATGCAGTTCAGAGTCAGTCTCAAGATAGCGATTGTGCACTTGCACGCATTAGTTAGAGGAGATGTTATCAATATTACGTTATAGTTTTTCATTTAGCACAAAAATATGAATTAGTTACAACCTCCCCAAGGCCCATTAATCTTCCATCTGTCTCCTGTTCTGCTTTTATAATATTCTACCTCAGTGTTTCTCAACCTTGACAATTTTAAGGCATGTGGACTTCAACTCCCAGAATTCCACAGCCAGCATTGCCGGCTGTGGAATTCTGGGAGTTGAAGTCCACATGCCTTAAAATTGTCAAGGTTGAGAAACACTGTAATTGATGAAAAGTTCTGAAGAACTTGAAAGCTTGCACTCTCCTCTGAGTTGGGTGGTTCTAATAAAGGTATTACCCAATATTGATTTTTTTTAAAAAAATTCTGTAGACCATTATGTTCATATGTTGTTGTTCTGCTAAAAAAAAATAATGCAAATTTAAAAGGACATTAATAACGCTAATCGTTTGATTATAATTTAATTACTTTGTTTAATTTGTTCTCATGTGTACCAATATCAAGAGTTGGAAAATAATGCGATAACTATGTCTGGGCCTGAACTCTTCTTCTGTCCTGCATTAGCTTAATTTCATTTATCCTCACTCATCTAAAATTTTTAATTGTCCTTGTATATTAATGAGAAGGAGAAAGGTTTTATGTTACCCTCAAATTCCTTCTTCGGTCATTTTCATATCTTCAGTTTTTATGACTTACGTCAAAATATTTCTCTGAAAAGGCTGCCAAAGAGATGACATTATGCACTTTGAATACAAATTTATCTATATTCAGAGCAATTTTTTTTCTTGTGATTGTCTGTACCCTAGAGAAGGGTCTTTAACGAATTACATACAAATTGTGTAATTTAAGAAGCTAATTTGGTCTTCTGGTTATGCAGGCCTCAGCACAGCTCTTGTAGAAAAGGATGATTTTGCATCAGGGACTAGCAGCAGAAGTACTAAATTGATCCACGGCGGAGTGAGATATCTACAGAAGGCCATCATGAAGTTGGATTTTGATCAGGTAATGATTTAGGATGGCTGCTGCAAAGCAAAACAATAGGTTGCTTGATCTAGTGAAATTGGTTCTCACACTTACGACTTTCAACACACTATTTGCTTTCAGTCGATTTAAACTTTGAGAAAATATGCAGAAAATGCATATACAGAAAAAAATGCATAAGTAATTAAAAATTTTGGAATGTTTTATGTTAGCATTTGGTCAAGTAATTGAAATGCAAAGTGTACGTTTTAGTAAACTGACACTTTGATAGCACTTTATTTATTAAATTTGGGTTCAAATTCTCACTATTTGAAAAAAAAATATCCTAAAACGTGTTATGGTACAATTTATTGTTTTGTAAACAAGTTGAGAAGCTTCCATATGTTTAAGACAATTATAATTTTTTTTAAAAAAAAACCTGTAGTAACAGCACACCTTGCTATTATCTGTAAAAGTGTTCGTATTCTTTTCAAGCAGCGGGTGCCATTGTGTAAATTTGTGTGATGGTGCAACGGCCAAAAATGTAAAAATGCTTGGAAGATTATCAAAACTGTCAAGATCTCATCATTTGCACCCTCAAAATTCTCTGTCTCATAAAGGCTATCTGATCTTGTGACAGTTTTAAATGCTTTCCTTGGGGAAAAAAAACAACTTTGGGTTCTTAATACCTGATTTACAGTGAACCTTAGTTTCCCTCTTCTCACCCATACACTGAACTAGCCGTTTCGTAGTGCATTTCTCCGTATTAAGACTAAATTCTGCAGGCAGAACATTTTTGATAGCAACAATTATTTCCTTATCTTGATTCTAAGTCATTCGATTCCATTATATCGCATTTTGATTCTATAGTCGTTCTATACAAGGTAGCACATTGATTTTTATTGAATATGGAGATTACCGTCACTTGGGAAGGCAGAACATTTCTGTAGCTCCAGGAGATTTAAAAACAGAAACAGGGGTGCCTCTGTGATGGTTTATTTTTTTTATAGAATAGAGCTGGAAGCCTCATTTAGGCCATTGAGTGCAGCCTCCCTGCTCAGTGCAGGAATTCAGATTAAAGCATTTCAGTTTAAAGCCTGCACTCTTCCAATGAAGAGGAGCCCAGCACCTTTCTAGTTAATTGATTTCACTATCAAACTGCTCTTACTATTAGGAAGGGTTCCCCCCACCCCTATTCAATTAGAATCTCCCTTCTTTCTCTCTATGGAGATTCTCAGTCATCCAGATCATGGTTGTTCCAAAGCTGCTTTTCCAAAAGACAACTTTCTTGTTTTGTTTTTTTTCCCCGTTGAAAACATTCCACTTCTCATTCAGAAAGCTTCTTCAATTAGAAGAAGAATTCTCCTAAGTCTAATTATTAATTTATTAATGGTTAATGATTGATTAATTAATAAATAATAATTATTAATAGTTATTAATTAAGAATTATTTTTCTCCATTGATGAGAAGAAGGGTGTTCTCATCCAAGACGTTTCTTCAATTAAAAGTTTCTTAGATGAGAAAATGTTTTCAAATAAAAAAAACCAAGTCCAGTTGCCTTTTGGAAAATCCCCTTTGAGGGTTCCTTCCTCTCATTTATTTTTTTTTTTTTCCAAAGAAATTTTATTATTTTTCATCATAAAAAACAATCATAAGCATAGATAAACACAATAAAAAATAAAATCCCCCCCCCCGTACTTCCCAAACCTAATCCCAGGATAATATTCATATATAAATAAACAAGTACTAATATCTCTAACTCCACAAAATATCTTAATCTACATGAAAAGATAGAAAGAGTAAACAAAATAAGAAAATCTAAAAACCTAAGTTGTATTCTACCACTCTATGCTTCTTTTGGATATAAACAATCCATCTTCTCCATATTGATAAAAATTGCCTTCCTCTCATTTAAACCCATTCTTCAGTGTCCCGCATTCTGGGGCAAGAGCGATCAAGTTTGGGCCCCCGTTTTGAGTCACATGCTTTCCTGTATTATATTCCTTCTCAGTTGTCTTTCCCATACCTACCTCCTTTATTAGATATTAGATAACCTTTATTGACATTTTTTACTGTGGGCACAATGGCACACATTAAAAATGAAATTTAGTTGCTTGCTCTCAAAGTGTACATATACATAACACACATTTAAACATACTATATACAACATATGTTTCTTTCTTCATAGGAGATCAGCTTCTTCAAACTTCTCTGAATTGTTCTGAAAGTTTAACAACCAGACCTTAAGAACATACGGAAGCTGGGCTTGACCAGTTTACTTCCTGTAATGCATTCATTATACTTCCATTGATGGAACCTAAAATTTAATTTACCCCTTTTATAGCCGTAGCTCAGTGATCCCTCCAGTTCATGTGTAATTAACTTCTATTCCAGATCTGTTTCACACATGCTGTTTCCAACTTAGTTGTGCCTCCTGGATTTTTGTCCTTGCTTCAGGTTTTTCATTTTACATTCCTCAGCTGTCTTCTGCTAGCTGTTGGTCATGTATGTAGCTCACGTTTTACTCAAGAACAAATTTGAACGTGTGTATAATGTTGGGAAAATACTGTTCCTTAGAACACGGGTGTCAAACTCGCCATGTGACGTGTCACGACATATCGCGACTCTTTTTGCATTGCCGGCAATGGGGTGGGCGCGGCTTCGATATGATGAAACCGGCCCATGGGCCGGCAGCTTGACACCCCTGCCTTAGAATATGAATGTAATTAAACACTATCGCGGTGTGTAAAAAAAATTTGTGGCAGTTGTGTTTTTTACTATTTCAGATGTTTTTTTTTTAACTCAAAAACAGTTCCAAACTGTTATTTTGAATTTTAATTAGTATTTATTTCAAGGTCAGACAAAGCACTTTTTGGATGGACAAATGGCAAAATTCAAATTTATTTGAATTTGATTGATTAATTCCAGATTTTCTGTTATTGATTAGACAGGTTTTTATGTTCTAGAGTAAAATAGAGCAATAACAATATTAAATCAATACTGAATTGTTTTATTTTTTAAAAACAATAATTAGTACATATCAATTTAGAAACTGCATAGACTGCTGTCATTCATCCCCATAGAGCTAGGTAGTCCTAGACATACGACTGTTTAGTGACCGTTCGAAGTTAAAGTGGCGTTGGAAAAAGTGACTTATGTCTGTTTTTTACACTTAACGACTGTTGCAGTATCAACAGTTGATCAAAATTCTGGCACTTGGCAACTGAATTCATACTTATGACGGTTGCAGTGTTCCCAGGATCATAGGATCATCTTTCCCGACAAGCAAAATCAGTGAATCCAGATTCACTTAACAGCCATGTTACTAACTTAACACCTGCAGTGATTCACTTAACAACTGTGGCAAGAAAGGCCATCAAATGGGGTAAAATCCTTAACAAATGTCTTGCTTAGTGATGAAAATTTTGGGTTGAATTGTGGTCGTAACTCAAGGACTACCTATAGGGCAGTGGTGGCGAACCTATGGCACGCGTGCCAGAGGCGGCACTCAGAGTCCTCTCTGTGGGCACGCGTGCCATCCCCCAGCCCCGCCTCCCCCTGCAACCCCTCCTCCCCAGCAGCCCCCCCCGGAGGAGAATCGCCCCCGGGCGTCACCCATGTGGAGCAGTGCAGCAAAGGACATGGCAGCAGGGACAAGACTGCCCTTGCGCCCCATCACACACATTTGATGCTATGGGGCGTGGGCGGAGGGTGTGGCTGCCATGGTGCTGCAGGGCCACCTGGGCGATCTGCTGCAGGCTGCGGAGGCGGTGTGTGGCCCTGAGGGCGGCTGGGGTGGGGTGGCGGATAAGGCAGGGGGGCAGAGTGGGGGATGGGCGGGGATGGGGCACTCAGTCTCTAAAAGGTTCGCCATCACTGCTATAGGATATGGTGATCAAGACGTTGAACTGGCACAAGGGAAATGCAAGTTCTTGTTCCACTCCTAGCTGTGAAAAATTTCTGAGTGGCTTTGATCCTTTCTCTCTCAGACCAACCTTATTTCACACAGTTGATGTTGTAGTAGAAAATGGAGGAAGGAGAATGTGAACACCATATTGAGCTCCTGAAAGAAACTTCGAGATATATTTTAACACTTTTTTCTGCTATAAAAATACATCATCTTCTGGTCAAAGAATGACCTGTACAAATTTTTATTACAATCATAATTTCTAAAGTTTTTTTTTTTAAATATTACAGGGAGTCCACAAAATAGTAACAGATGGTTGTTCATCAGTATCGCTGAGAATCAGTTCAGTAAATTCTTTATTATTATTGTTTCTTTTTCTTTCTTTCTTTTAGTATAGAATGGTGAAAGAAGCCCTCCACGAACGTGCCAACTTGCTTGAAATTGCTCCTCATTTATCTGCTCCTCTGCCTATAATGCTTCCAGTTTACAAGTAAGTTATTTAAAATTTACTTTCTTTTATTTGCTTGGCAGGTTATTCTTACAATTTAATCTGTGTCACTGTGTAGGAATTATAGTGCTCCCCCCCCCCCGGTGGGTTATTTTTTATTTTGTTTTCTTTTGCTTTTGCTAGTGCCAAGCCTAATTTTTTTACTTTGTAAGAACAAAATATTGCCATTATTTTATAGAAGTGTAATGTGAAATCTTTTGGACCATTGTTTTAATCTGGTATGGCAAATGCACAAAGAATCCTATTGGCATTTTACTGACAGATTGATTACAGTGGCAGAAACCTTTGATGTTGCTATACCATAACTGTGCTTGAATTAAATCTTGATTAGCCGTCTGAGAACTGAAACTTACGGGCGTTTATGTGCATCGGTGTTTATATGCATTTATTGTATTTAAACGTTGAAACCGTGTCTGCATCTCTGTGGTATAAAAAGGGGAAAAATGAGATGCAAATGTATGCATGCTGTTAATTTTCCTGACTTCTCAGATGCCTTGAGAAAGGAAAATACATAAGTAGCTTTTTTACTCTGGTTAGACAGACCAGTACTTTACCTTAAATTAGTCAGTAAGATGTGAAAAGAGAGTATCCCATTAATGTTCTTGAATAATAATAATTTATTAAACTTGAATTACGCCTGATTCTCAATTATTCCGGACAATCAAAGAATTTACAATAAAATCAATAAAACATAAAAAATATAGATAAGCGCACAAATGTATGCTGTTTAGGACTTACATTGAGGATGCATCTGAGGAGATGTTACAGGAAGAGAATAGTTAAGTGTTTTGTAACTTACCTATTTGAATTTTGATCTTTAGAGAGGTACTGGGGGAGGGACGTTAGTCTGAGCTGATGTCTTATCCAGGGTCTCTAAATGACTTTCTAAACCAAGTGACGTTTTGAGACTTAGTTTTCACACATCCCACCACAATGACTCAGAAAGAATAACATTAAGCAGTGGAAACATCAAGGATTGGAGAGAGAAGTCATCAAACCTAAATAAACATACTGTGCTCAGATGATGTGGTGTTATGTATCCAAGAAAAATATGGTGATGCTACAGCACTTCCAGAACATGTCTTACAAGTACAATTCTGGTACATTGTACTTTCCATGTCTCAGTGTAAAAGTATACAAGCTTGCTCCATCATTTCAGACGCCTTACAAGAAAGGGAATTTTGAAGCACCATCCAAGTCATTTAAATAAGATTTCTTGTTATGTAAGAAACTTCAGATGCCTGTAGGCTGCTTAGTTATGTGCTGTTGTTAGAAACTTGTTAACTAAACATTAGAAATAAGTATGCAAAACACCAGTCATTACTCACTTTTGCTCAAGCATGCACAATTTCTGTTGCCTCAAGAGCTGCAGCTGGCTTTATGTTATATATCAAACACTTTATTCCCAAAATTGGTCAAGGCCAGGTCAAATATTGAAGTGGGGGTTTAAGTCTGATGAAATTTCTTAAGTGCCTGCAAAGTTTAAGGCAGGGGTAGTCAACCTTGGCTCTTTTATGACTCGTGGACTTCAACTCTCAGAATTCTGGGAGTTGAAGTCCACGAGTCATAAAAGAGCCAAGGTTGACTATCCCTGGTTTAAGGCATTCATTTTGTCCTCTAGAACTCTCTAAACTTCTTAGTGTTTTTTTTTTTTTAAAAAATGGGTCTACCTATTCAGGAAGGATGCTGGCAGGCTGTGCCTTCAGCTATACCTGAGTGTACTAGGTATGTACACATTTTCCTTTTAGAAGAATAATTTCAAAGTTTTTTCTTGAGTTTTTAAAAAAAATATGGAATTCTATACCTGAAGAATATTAAAGATTAGTCCATGTGGTATGATGTTTAAATACACATTAAATACACACAGTAAAATGGAGTGGACTACTTTTCTTACACTATATCTCATGGTGCTGAATTGTGCTGTTATCTGTATTTCCCCCCCCCCCCCTTGCTAGTAGAATAGTGACTATACTTTCCCTGCAAAAATCATGAATAGGTGCTTGCTGATAAATTCTGGCTGACTGTAATAATTAAGAATTAAATTCATTTGTCAGCTTAAAGTTGAATTTCACCATATTTTCTAAACTGTTAGTCGTGTTTACTTTAAGACCATTGATGTCACTAGATCTGTCTCCAAATCTGTTAGTTTGAAATCTCAAATATTGTTTAACATTTTCATTTTCCAGTACACAAGTCTCTCTCTTTATATCTGTCTGTCTGTCTGTCTGTCTGTCTGTCTGTCTGTCTGTCTGTCTGTCTATCTATCTATCTATCTATCTATCTCACTCTTTCACTCTCTCCCTCCCTCCCTCCCTCCCTCTCTCTCTTTCTCTTTCTCTTTTTCTCTCTCTGTACGTATGTGTGAAAACAGGGTTGAGTGTAAAGGTGATTATTTTAATATCCTGACCATATAAAAATGGCAATCTAGCTGTTTCTCAAGATGGAGAAGTCCTAGCACAGGGCTTTTCAACCTTTTCACCCATTGTACCACTTTTAGGATATGGCAATATCCGAGTACCACCAGTCGCCTAACAAGGTGTCAAAAACTTGATGACCCCCCCAACAAAGAAAAAAAGTGATGAAGTACAGATAGTCCTCGACTTACAACAGTTCGCTTAGTGACTGTTCAAAGTTACAATGGCACTGAAAAAAGTGCCCCCCAAGCCACAGCAGAGCAAGACACCTGCCTGCCCACCCGGTGGCGCTCTTCCTCCTGTCCGAGGTTTTCATTGTTGTGAGCATTTCTGTTGGGGATTGGCAGCGGAGGTGAGGTGGGGGGTGTTTGGTTTTTATTTCCCCCCCCCTCTGCTGGGTGGTTGCAGCAGGTTTTGGTCACTTCACATAATCCTGGGACACTGTGACCGCCATAAATATGAATCAGTTGCCAATCATCTGAATGTAAATCACAAGACCCTGGAGATGCTGCAACATTCCAGCTGATTGGTGCTTCTTCTGGGCTCAGCAGAAGCGCCAGGATCAGCGCCGAGCTCCAGCTGTAGCCTGGCGCTGATCCTGGCACTTCCGTTGAGCCCTGACAGCCCTGCAGCTCCAGCCATCTTGTTGCTCAGGCTTGTGTGGTGCTGCCACCGGTTCAGCTCATTCCTCTCCCCCGCTACCACTTTTCTAGGATGGTCGCGTACCACCTGCCAGATGCCAATGTACCACAGGTGGTACCCGTACACTGGTTGAAAAGCCTTGTCCTAGCACATGAAATCGGTGTTTCTGTGATAAAAGAGTGCTGCAGCACTTCTTAGGTATAGTTTTTTAGTCTATACTGAATACCAGAGAATCATTGATATTCTCTGACCACAGAGTTTGGCAAAACTGTATTTTGGGTTCTCCCCCCCCCCCCCCCGAAACAATATACAACCTTCTTAGAATATGCAAAAAGTCTTTCATTTAAGATACTCGATGCTTTGAAAATATCTAACCTGGCAAAAGGAGCTGCAATTCCTGCTCCTTGTCTTACTGTTCTTGGATTGCACTGCCGCTTGGTTACACAGGACCAGATTGGAATGGGACAACTCGCCACGGCCAACTCGCCGTGGCCATCTCACCACAGCCATCTCACCAGAGTCAACTCGCTGCAGGCATCTGGCCGGAGCCAAATCGGCATTGGCATCTCACCAAGACCAATTCGCCACGGGACAACTCACCGTGGGACAATTCCATGTTGCATAATTCAGTGCGATAAATTTTATCCACCACTGTTTCTTCGACATTATTTCCATTGACAAAAGTGGAACTAGCGTAGAGGAAACAGTGGCAGAGTTACCCCTTGTGGATTGTCTTGTGGTGGGTTATCCTGCCGCGGGTTGGTCGTGGCAAGATGGCCACAGTGAGATGGCTGCTGCAAGTTGTCCTAGATCCAGACCAGTTCCTCCCCCAGGAGGTCAGTGGGGCCTTTCTGAATAGGGTTCCATAGGATAAGACAGGTGGCCCAGCCAAGTAATTGTAGACTTTTAAGCTGCTGTGTAATTCACATGGCACTAAATATTCTGGTGGAAAGAAATGATTTATATTTCAAGATTTTTTTTTTATTGAACACTGATCGTTCTTTGTATGCTTGGATAGTTGTCCCTGATTATTAATATATTTAAAAATAACAACGTTAGAGAACAACATCAGCTGCAGTGAATCCTCAGTTTTCCATGTAAGCCTATGAATCTGTCTACTCATTTGTCTGGCTGGATTTGTGTAAAAGGATAGGGTGGGCTAAAATGGAATTGAATAGCTTGTGACTGATAGTACTGTGGGAACCCAAGCATTATCTTAATATGTTACATAACCCAGGACATCAGGTTAAGGCAGTTAATTTAGATATTATGGGAATAAAGCCATTGTGTTTCGTTAAAATGGGATTAGAAGATGTGTTATCTGGATCAGAGGCCCTCAATCTTTTCGGCACTAAGGACCGGTTCTGTGGAGAAAGATTTTTCCGCGGACCAGAGGGGGCGTGGTTTCGTGTGCTGCCTGTATCCAGCGGATGGGGCTTCACTTGTTTGCGCGGCCCGGTTGCTGGTACGCCACGGCCTGGTGCGGGTCCACAGATCGGGGATTGGGGACCCCTGATCTGGATGTTCATTCTTTCCCATTCCCAGTATTTGGTGCTTGGGTCCAGGTGCACAGTAAAGCTTCATAGCCAAGTGGGAATATGAATCTTGGTCCTGGTGTCCAGTTCTTTCTGCTGAATTGATTGCATGCTAACTGATTTAGGGCCTTTCTGTTTTATAAATTACAGTCTCAGCCTTTGCAAATAAATATGTATCTATAATTGGGTGTGTTTGTATATCCTCTTGCTTTTCTTCCCAGAAACTCAGGATAACTTCAGTCAATAACAAACTGAATTTTAAAAACATCTATCCATTGAATAAAACAGTAATTGGAATAGTTGTATCTCACTTCTTCTTGGGTGGCCTCTTTTAGTTGAAACATTAGCGTGCAGAAATCCCCTGTGATCTTTGGAACAGGTTTTCCACACGTATCCAGATCTATTCTGATTTTTCTAAATTCTGTTTTGAGTTTTTAGATTTGTTCTAAAAGAATTTCATTGCAAAAAAAGGGATTTGTTTTACATGCGTATGTATTTATTTGTCATCTTTTTTTTTTTTTTTAGGTGGTGGCAACTGCCTTATTACTGGGTGGGAATTAAGATGTATGACCTTGTAGCAGGAAGCCAATGTCTGAAAAGCAGCTATGTGCTTAGCAAATCCAGAGCTTTGGAACTCTTTCCTATGTTACAGAAGGACAGACTCGTGGGTGCCATAGTCTACTATGATGGTATGTCCTCTCCTTTCTTGCCAGTCTTAAAAGCAGAAGCTTTGATCCCGGTTGTGAATCTTGAGTCCATTCTATCACTAGCTATATTGCAGATTTACTGACCAGCCCTTGAGTTCATGCATTTCTCCCTTTGCACTACCCTGCAAGAATCTTTAAGTACCAACTGCTTTTATCACCCGCTGCACTGTTTAGCTAATCAGTTAGAAAAAGTTGTCTTAATTACAGTTACCTTTCATTAAGCCATGCTGGTATAGTATTGCAGGCTAACTCTGCCCACTGCCAGGAGTTCGATCCTGACCGGCTCAAAGTTGACTCAGCCTTCCGAGGTCGGTAAAATGAGGACCCAGATTGTTGGGGACTATATGCTGACTCTACAAGTAGCTTAGAGAGTGCTGTAAAGCGGGGGTCCCCAACCCCTGGTCCGTGGACTAGAACTGGGCCGCGGCATGCCAACAACCAGTCCGCACAAATAAGCAAAGCCCCATTGGTGGGCTGCAGGCAGCACACAAAACCATGCACCCTCCAGTCCGTGGAAAAACCTCTCCATGGAACCGGTCCCTGGTGCTCAAAAGGTTGGGGACCTCTGCTGTAAAGCACTGTGAAGTAGTATATAAGTGCTGTTGCTATTGGTGTTTTAGCTCTTTTCCTCTGCTTAGCACAGTGGTGGCGAACCTATGGCACGGGTGCCAGAGGTGGCACTCAGAGCCCTCAGTCCTAGGCCTTCAGCTGGGTTTTATAAAACCTTTTTGCTTTAGGCCTCCGCCGCCGTGTACAAAAAAAAAGGTTCAATCAATCAGTCAATTTCAACATCTCGCGGGAAAAAAAAAATCTCGCAAAGTTGGAATTGATTGATTGAACTTTTTAGTCCCACCCAGTCTGCTGTTACCACCACAGCCATGCCCACCCAATGGGCCACACCCACCCGGCACCCGATGATGCATAAGTGGGTTTTGGGTTGCAGTTTGGGCACTCGGTCTCTAAAAGGTTCGTCATCACTGGCCTAGCAGATTTTCTCCCAACAACAGAACACTATAGCAGAGAAGATTCATTGTTGTTCCTCTTTCACATAGCAAGTGAAGCACACCCATCTCGAGTCCCTTCCTTCATGCTGAAAAAAAGATATAGATACTAGATTAGTCTTGTCCCCTTTTGCTTTCAATGTCTATTTGTGCCTATTTGTGTGAAAATTCCTGAGAACATGCCAGAACTAGTTCTGGGAAGATGTTCATGTCTTTTGAGTCAGGTAGATCTGTTCTTTCCTCATGTATATTGTCTTCTAAATTAACTTCTCTGTGGCTGGTGGATAAACGAGGCATTATCATACATGGGAGCGTGCCAAAGAACTTACTTTGTAAAATCTGTATTTAGTTCCATTATTCACTGAGGTTTCCAGATGTCTCTTTTAGTCTGCCAGTAGAATGCTCCACCTACTGGTGGCTTGTGCGACTCAGAAAAACCATTTCATTCTTCCCTTGGATTTTCCCAAATGAAAGTTGATTTTTCATTTGCTTCTGTATGCATGTTGCTACTTCATCAAAATACGTTGCTGCATGCAGAATGATCTTTTATATTTTTTTATATTAGATATTTCTCCAATTCTGCTTTTGAGAAACTTTTTGTAGGCAAGCATAGATACGTACGGATAAATACATGAGTTGGGGATGAAATATACTAGCAAATTAGTCCATTTACTTTTTGTGAAGGGGGAAGAAGAAAATTAAATTTATATAGTTTGAGCAAATTTAGGTTGGGGGAATAATGAGGAAGCACCTCAGGCCAAAAGGACTAAAAAGGACCATTAACCACTTTAAAGTAGGGGGACGACAATGAAAATGCTTGATGTTCTCTACAAAACTGATCGATGTAGTGAATCCACAAGCATATGATTATAGCATTATGAATATTTGTATGTATCAGAAAAAAGCTAGCTCAAAACTTCTTTGTAACCATAATACAATAATACTGATGGGATCTGACTGTTCTGTTGAATATGCGCTTGCTATGTATCGTAGTTTTCTAGGACTGCAGTTTTATTACTGATTGTAAGTTTATTTCTTTGCCTGATAAGTCTTGAGAAGGAGTGGCTGAAGAGAGTAGTTTTTGTTCTAAACTGGATTATATCTTATAAAACATCCCTTCTACAGTCTGGGGCATAAAATAAAATGTTATATGCACAAAAACATGGAGGTGAGTCTGCATACATTTTAATAAAGTAACAGAGAAGTCAGCCTACCAAACCGTACTTTCTCTGAAAATTACTAGAAGCCAAGAAACTCAGTTCTGAGATTGTGGAATGCAACTAGTTACACAGCAGGATGCCCATTTAGTGACATTTTTATTGCTCCCTGCCTAAAGGCCAGCCTTAACTGTGATTTTTTTTTTTGTCCTTATGTTAGATGGATACAGTTTTCTGTTCTTTTTTTATAAGATGATTTACAGGTTTATTTTTTCTGTTGAGATAAGAGTGTCTTAACATGCACATTTTTTAGAAATGTTTTTTTTCTACCTAACCTCCAGCCCTAGCCAATAAACCAGATTCGCACTTTCAGAATGTCTTTCATGAACAAATGCTACACAGACATTCAAGTACGAAACCTGAACTTCAGTATCCATCCAGATGCCTTTTGCTACCTTCTAGTAGTGCTTCTCTGTCATTCATTTTGAAGAAGCTTTAGAATGGTGCGTGCTAATTATGGGACCCATGTGGATTGCTTTTGCAGTGAAAAAGCTACACAAGGGTTTTTTTTGTGAACAAAAAAACTGGAATTTAAATTTGTCCTTTTTTATTTCTTTATTTTTTTACTTGTATATCTATACAATTAAAACAATTTTTAAGGTTAAAATAAAAGCTTTTAAAAAATAGAAAGGAGACAATCCCAAACTAAAAATAAAAAATAATACAGAAAAGGAAAAAAAAACTATCTTATATTTTATACTTATCAATAGTTATGAGTACGCTACTGTAGACTGTTCTCTCCACATGCTAAATTTACTTGAATTGAGTGATCCTAAATATAAATTCTAAACTGTGAATTGATCTTCTGGTAGATTGCGTGGTATTTTGTCTTTTCACATAGATACAGTCTGTTGTGTTTCACCCACATTCTGCTAGAGAAGCAGTCAAGTGATCCCCTAGAGCAGAGGTGGGCAATTAATTTTCCCAAGAGGCCACATGAGAAACTGGGACTGTTGTGGAGGGCCAAACCAATAGGGCTGTGAAGATTTGTAGGTATGCACATATGCCCATACTTAAGTTGGGGAAAAAAATAGCAGTTGCCTTCAAAATAAAAGCAATCCATGTGGGCTGGACAGAGACAGCAAAGGTCTATAAAAGCCCAGGTCTGCACTAGAGAGTGGGAAGGGCCCTACATTTTTCTGGAATAATGCTAAATCTGCATACAAAAGAATCTTTCAACTGATAGGGAGGACTAGCCACCTAGCAAATCATGCCCCTCTCCCAGTCCTATCCCAACCCAAGGAGAAAGACTAGTGGATGGTCTCCTAACAGCTGGTGAATTTGTGAGAGTGAAGCAAAACTGAGCTGGGATATACTGTACAAAACCCTATTTTTAATTTGGTTCTGGATAATTGACAATGTGCCTTTGGCAGGACAAGGATTGCTGGTGGATCTGCCACATTTTAAAACCAATGTTTCTGCTGGCTCAAGGACTAGTATACAGAATTTTAATTCTCTGGTGAAGAAGTGCCCTTAATGTGTTTTTCACTTTGTGCTCTACCTTACATCTCGTTTCTCAAAGAAATGTATGAAGTCTGACACCTGAAATATTCTGATATTGTTCTTTTTTTAGGCTTTTCCTAAGAAACCGCAAGTTTAGCAGAGCGAGCAAATAAAAGTCTATGTTGAGATTCATTTTTAATCAAATAGTTAAAGGCTCAGTACTGCTAAATTTAGCTGATTTGCAAATAGAGAAGGATAGAGGAGAGCAAAAAAATTA